ATTGTAACTGAAGGCTCATTAATTAACGTTAGCATTTTACTATTAAAACTAAAAATGTTACAGTTACTTGTTTTAATTTCCTTTAATAATGATGACCCCTATTGATTTTGAGGTCACTAGGTCAAAGGTCAAGGTCATGTGGACCGTAAATGTAACAATGGTTTCCGCTCTGAATATCTTGCCACTTATTTATCACAAAGTCTTCATATTTCATATACGGATTGGTCATACCTAGTTTATGACCCTAATTGATTTTAATGTCACTAGGTCAAAGGTCAAGGCCATTATCTTGAAAACTGTATATCACTAAGTTGTTATATTTCACATATTGATTGGTTATAACTAGCAAATGACCGTATCAATAATGAGGTCTATAGGGCAAAAGTCAGGGTCACTGGGACCTAAATTATCAGAATGGTTTCCATTCATTATCTTCAAAACTACTTGTTATCAAGTCTTTGTGCTTCACATTTTAATTGATCATCACTAGAAGATGATTTTGAGGTCACTAGGTCAAAGTCACAATAACCTTTAATGGTTTCCACTTATTCTCTTGACACCAATTAGTTACCAAGTCCTCATATTTCACATATTGGTTGATCATGACTAGTAGATGGCCTTTTTGATTTTGGGGTCACTAGGTCACAGGGGCCTTATATGTCGGAAAAGTTTCCGTTCATGATCTTAAAGGGGTTATTAGCTCACCTGTCACAAAGTGACAGGGTGAGCTTTTGTGATCGCTTTTCGTCCGGCGTCCGTCTGTCGTCCGTCCGTAAACTTTTACTTTAAATGACATCTCCTCATAAACCACTAAGCCAATTTCATCCAAACTTCACAGGAATGTTCCTTTGGTGGTCACCTTTAAAAATTGTTCAAAGAATTTAATTCCATGCAGAACTCTGGTTGCCATGGCAACCAAAAGAAAAAACTTTAAATATCTTCTTTTAAAAAACCCAAAGAGCTAGAGCTTAGATATTTGGCATGAAACATCTTCTAGTGAGTGTCTACCAAGTTTGTTCAAATAAAAGCCCTGGGGTCAAAATTGGCCCCGCCCCAGGGGATCATTGATTTTCCCTATATGCATATAGTAAAAACTTAAAAAATCTTCTTTAAAAGAACCCATAGAGCTAGAGCTAAGATATTTAGCATGAAACATGTTCTAATGGGTGTCTACCAAGTTTGTTCAAATAAAAGCCCTGGGGTCAAAATTGGCCCCGCCCCAGGGGGTCATTGATTTTCCCTATATGCATATAGTAAAAACTTAAAAAATCTTCTTTTAAAGAACCCAAAGAGCTAGAACTAAGATATTTAGCATGAAACATGTTCTAATGGGTGTCTACAAAGTTTGTTCAAATAAAAGCCCTGGGGTCAAAATTGGCCCCGCCCCGAGGGTCATTGATTTTCCTTATATGTGTATATTAAAAACTTGAAAAATCTTCTTTGAAAAAACCCATATAGCTAGAGTTTAGATATTAAGCATGAAACATCTTGTAGTGAGTGTCTACAAAGTTTGTTCAAATAAAAGTCCTGGGGTCAAAATTGGCCCCGCCCCAGGGGGTCATTGATTTTCCCTATATGCATATAGTAAAAACTTAAAAAATCTTCTTTTAAAGAACCCAAAGAGCTAGAGCTAAGATATTTAGCATGAAACATGTTCTAATGGGTGTCTACAAAGTTTGTTCAAATAAAAGCCCTGGGGTCAAAATTGGCCCCGCCCCGAGGGTCATTGATTTTCCTTATATGTGTATAGCAAAAACTTAAAAAATCTTCTTTGAAAAAACCCATATAGCTAGAGTTTAGATATTAAGCATGAAACATCTTCTAGTGAGTGTCTACAAAGTTTGTTCAAATAAAAGTCCTGGGGTCAAAATTGGCCCCGCCCCAGGGGGTCATTGATTTTCCCTATATGCATAAAGTAAAAACTTAAAAAATCTTCTTTTAAAGAACCCAAAGAGCTAGAGCTAAGATATTTAGCATGAAACATGTTCTAATGGGTGTCTACAAAGTTTGTTCAAATAAAAGCCCTGGGGTCAAAATTGGCCCCGCCCCGGGGGTCATTGATTTTCCTAATATGTGTATAGCAAAAACTTAAAAAATCTTCTTTGAAAAAACCCAAATAGCTAGAGTTTAGATATTAAGCATGAAACATCTTCTAGTGAGTGTCTACCAAGTTTGTTCAAATAAAAGCCCTGGGGTCAAAATTGGCCCCGCCCCAGGGGGTCATTGATTTTCCCTATATGCATATATTAAAAACTTAAAAAATCTTCTTTTAAAGAACCCAAAGAGCTAGAGCTAAGATATTTAGCATGAAACATGTTCTAATGGGTGTCTACAAAGTTTGTTCAAATAAAAGCCCTGGGGTCAAAATTGGCCCCGCCCCGGGGGTCATTGATTTTCCTTATATGTGTATGGCAAAAACTTAAAACTCTTCTTTGAAAAAACCCAAATAGCTAGAGTTTAGATATTAAGAATGAAACATCTTCTAGTAAGTGTCTACAAAGTTTGTTCAAATAAAAGCCCTGGGGTTAAAACTGGCCCCACCCCAGAGGTGTCATTGTTTTTAACTATATATATGTGTATAGTAAAAACTTAAAAAATCTTCTTTTAAAAAACCCAATGAGCTAGAGGTTAGATTTTAAGCAGGAAACATCTTTTTGTTGGTGTCTACCAAGTTTGTCCAAATAAAAGCCCTTGGGTTTAAATTGGCCCTGCCAAAGGGGGGGGCGGAGGTCATTGTTTTTTGTGTCGCCTCTACGGAGTAGTGGCGACATATAGGGATCACTTCTCCGACATCTGTCTGTCCGTCTGTCTGTCCGTCCGTCACAAAACTTGTCCGGACTACTACTCATAAACTACAGTGCAATATCATCCAAACTTTACAGGAATGATCAGTACCAAGTCTAGTTGTGCATATTGTCAGCATTTTCCGGTTCAATGATTTTTGTCAGAGTTATGGCCCTTTAATAATTTTTAATTTTAAAGTTTGTCCGGACTACTCCTCTTATACCACTAATGCAATTTCAATGAAACTTTACAGGATTGATCTGTAGCTCAAGTCCTTGCGCATATTGCAAGGGTTTTCCGGTTGAATGATTTTTGGCCGAGTTATGGCCCTTTGATAAAAAGGTTTCTTTTTCTGTGTGTTGCCAGATACACAAAAGCTTGTCCGGACTACTCCTCATAAACTACAGATGCAATATCATCCAAACTTTACAGGAATGATCAGTACCAAGTCTAGTTGTGCATATTGTCAGCATTTTCCGGTTCAATGATTTTTGTTTGAGTTATGGCCCTTTAATAATTTTTATTTTTAAAGTTTGTCCGGACTACTTCTCTTATACCACTAATGCAATTTCAATGAAACTTTACAGGATTGATCTGTAGCTCAAGTCCTTGCGCATATTGCATGGGTTTTCCGGTTGAATGATTTTTGGCTGAGTTATGGCCCTTTGATAAAAAGGTGTTTTTTTCTGTGTGTTGCCAGATACGCAAAAGCTTGTCCGGACTACTCCTCATAAACTACTGGTGCAATTTTATCCAAACTTTACAGGAATGATCAGTACCAAGTCTAGTTGTGCACTGTCCGTCTGTCTGTCCGTCTGTCACAAAATTTGTCCCAACATGAAATTGGCCATCATGAGGCGACACATATGATTACTGATCGCTCTTGTCATTATATGTGTGTAGTAAAAACTTAACATCATGAAACATCTTCTAATGGGTGTCTTCCAAGTTTGCTCAAATAAAAGCCCTGGGGTTTAAACTGGCCCCGCTCCGGGGGCCTATATACAGGTGAGCGACCTCAGGGCCATCATGGCCCTCTTGTATATTTTTGCCAATGTGTCTGTCTGTCCGTCAGTAGACCGCATGGTAACCGCCTCCGTGGTCGAGGGGTTAGAGTCGATGACTTCTAATCCAGTTACTCTCTGGCGTGGGTTGGATCCCTGGGAGATGCTTTTGTAGTTTAGCATGGAGGATTAAGGTAGTCTAGTACTGGTGTAACTCTCCAGGAACGATGGTTAGGAAACTACCCGCCTATACATTGTATGACTGAAATACTGTTGGGAAAAGGCGTAAAAATGAAACAAACAAACAAAGACCACATGGTTTCTGCTGATTATCTTAAAAACTATTTATCACAGAGTATTCATATTTCACATACTGATTGGTCATAACTAGTAAATGACCCATTCTGATTTTGGGGTCACAAGGTAATATGTATTCCTTTACATTATGAGTATTTTTGTGAAACAGACAAAATTTCCCTTTTTTTCAGTTATGTGACAGTGTTTTTTTTCCACTAATATATTCGGCGAAATTTGGCCCCATTCCCCCCTCAAGATAGTAGGTTTTTTCCCCCCCCTCTAAGCCAAAATTTCCCCCTATACAGCAGCCCGAATCTGCCTGCAATGGATGTCTTTTTCTTTTTTTTTGCAACTTATTGCCGAAAAAAGTTTTATGTTATGCCTGTAAGAATTACTGTTAAGCAAGGTTGTTTACAAATTGTTCTCAGGTAGGTAAGGAGAGCGCCCCAACAAATTTAACATGCGACACTTCGATATTTTAGATCCGTATATTAAGAAAAAGTGACGTATTTTAATCTTGTGTTGCAAGAGTTGCTCCCCTTTTCTACCGGAAAGAAAGCAATGTTATATAAATAAACAAATCAAATTCCCCATTCTATTGCAATTTCCCGCTCCAAAGGGCACCGACTCCCTTCCCCAAAAAGTGGGGAAAAAACCCCCACTGAAATTCCCTACCTGAGAATCATGGCCCCAGTCCCCTTTATCAGTATATGGTACATTGCAGCTTCAGCAATCTCCTCTTCAACTACTGAGTGAATTGGTAAATGTTTTTGACAAAATTTTTACTCAGAGACAAAAATCAGGGCTGAGGGGCATATGTGTTTATCAAACATACGTTCTTGTCTGTAATTGTTCTAATGTTTTGCCCATTCACTTTTCAAATTTTGTAGTATGACATAAATTTGTTTCTTTCAGAATTGGGTACCGTATGGTTGGCATCTTTCTGACAGAGAAAATGACACATTTAATATGAACCTTGTAAACTTTGCAATGTTCACAATTACCATTGTTTTTGGAGCAGTTTATATAGCTTATGAGCCGGATACTCGGTAAGTAAACATTTACATGATATTAAGGGATTGTCTGTGGGTGGAGAGTTGTATACAATATCTTCTGTATTAAACTCCTAGATATTAAGGGTTTGTCAATCAAATTGTCAGAACTATTGACTTCAAGTACACATGGACTACATAATGATGTTATGTATGATTATTTTGAGTTTCTTTTCAAAGAAAAAATCTGATCTATTGCTTCGGTCATCTGTTGCCATCTAATATCTGTACCATTGGTCATTAGTGTTTTTTATTTCTTAAAGGATTGTCTTCATACTTGGACACAACAATCCTTTGGACAAAACCTATAAATAGACCAGACTGCATTTGACCTTGACTCATAAATAAGGTTGACCTTATTCATCTTCAAGGTCAAACTTCTGAATCTTGCTTGATTTTTAGCTCACCTGAGCTAGCTCGAATTGTTGAATGTCTGTCCTCTGTCCACATAAATTATGTTCCTTAACACTCTAGTGGTCACATTTTTTACTCAATTGTCATTAAAATTGGTCAGGATGCTTGTCTAGGTAATTGCTAGGATTAGTTCGAACATGGGTCATTTTGAATGAAAAACTAGATCTCAGGAGCTAAAAATATAAAAATCTTGTTAAAATTTTAGTGGCGACTGTTTTGATCCGAATATCCTGGAAATTTGTCTGAAAGGTTGTTTTGATAATTTCTAGGTCAAGTTGGAATATACAAAAATGTAGGTCACCTGGGGTCAAAAGCTAGTCCAAATATGGAAAAACCTTGTTAACACTATTGGTCATAATTATCATCACATTTTTTCAGGATGCTTGTCTACTTAATTGCTTGGATGAGTTCAAACATGGGTCATTTTGGATGAAAAACAAGGTCACAGGAGCTAAAAATTGAAAAAGTTTTGTTTACACTCTTAAGTGGTTACTGTTTTGATCCAATTATCCTGGAAATTGGTCTGAAAGTTTGTTTTGATGATGCCTAGGTCAAGTTTGAATATGGGTCACCTTTGGTAAAAAAAAACTAGGTCACTGCCCGAATTTGACACATTTTTGCCTCAATCATTTACAAGCTTGGTCTGGATGCTTGTCTAGTTAATTGCTCGGATGAGTTCGAACATGGGTCATCTCGGATGGAAAACTAAGTAACAGGAGCTAAAAATAAAAAAAAATCTTGTTAACACTCTAGTGGCTACTGTTGGTAAGCAAGTTTGCTTTGATGATTTCTAGGTCAAGTTCGAATATTGGTCACTTAGGGTCAAAAGCTAGGTCACACTGCCCAAATATTGAAAAACCTTGTTTACACTCCAGTGGTCACATTTTTGACTCTGTTGTCATCAAACTTGGTTAGGATGCGTGTCTAAGTAATTGCCATGATTTCATTTGGTCAGGTTAGCGATATAGGGCCATCTTGGCCCTCTTGTTGCAAGTTGTTTTTGCTATAATTGGTTCTAACCCTGTTATTCAAGAATGGATTATCTTCACTAAAATCATCAAAATAAGATCTTCATGTATGTCAAACTCAAATTGACCCCCTGAAGGTTAAATTATTGAATTTTCACTGTTTTTTTTTCTATTATTGACTGTAACTTGGTAATTAATAAATGGATTATCTTCAAACTTTGATAAAACAACTTTGGACAAGATATTGACCTTGAGCTTTAAATGACCTTGACTGTCAAGGTCAAATTATTGATTTTTTTTCAGTAACTGGCTATTACTTTGTTATTTAACTACATATGATAGAAAATAAAACATCTTTTATGTCAGGACCTTGATGAATATCAAACTCAAATTGACCTTGACTGATGTTTGACCTTTACGTTGAAGGTCAAATTTTTTTATTTTCACTGATTATGGATATAATTGGCTGTAACTTTGTATTGGTGGTGGAGTTTGTAGTTTTCACTCGGTATCACAGCAGTAAGTCACATTAATTTACCAGAGCACTTCTGTACATGCCAAAGCAGAGGTACAATTCAAATGACAGCTGAAAAAATTTCTTGATCAATCACAACAAAAGTGACCTGCACCGTCCAGGAATCGAACCTTGTTTGCCTATTCACAGTCCAATGCTCAACCTATTGAGCTAATAGCTGTAACATTTTAATTAAGTAGTGGATTATATTCATACTTAGACAAAACAACCTTTTGGACAAGATATTTTGAAAGGTTGAATTGACCTTGAGCTTTGTATGACCTTGACCATCAAGGTCAAAGTATTGAATTTATGTTAAGTTGTCATAATTTTGTTTATTTGAACACATGACAAAACTGACATGATGATTAATTCAAATATGACCTTGACTTTTGAACAGCCATTTTTAACTAGGTTTTCTGAAGGGAAATTGGTTATTAAATTACAATTTATGTTATGTCAGAGGGTACGCGGCTTGGCAGATGTAAACAATTTTCTTCTGTGCTGAATTCCCAGAGCTTTGATACTTATCATGTAGCATTTCCATGTGCACCTCTACAAAATATTTATATAAGTCATACCTTTGGGGGTCAAAAATTGCTTGTCATGAGGGACATTTATTTTGCATAGACTTGTAAGGTAAAAATGTCTTCAAAATCTTCTTTTCAGAAACTATTATGCTAAGAGCTTAGATATTTGGCATGTAGCAATTACCATGTGATCTTTAATTTGACCCATCCCTAGGGTAACTTAGTTTATATAGACTTTCATAGGAAATTAAATATACATTTAATCTTTCTTTAATCATGGAATTGCAATGTCCAGATGTGAGATATTTGGCATGTAGATTTCATTGTCAAAAAGTAATTTAAGTCATGCTTCTTGGACATGTGCTAGCAGTCATTTAGTGAAATAGACTTGCAAAGTAAAAGTACCTTGAACAAACTTTTTCAACGACTACAATGTCCAGAGCTTAGAAGTTTGGCATGTAGTGTCACTTTGTGGTCGCCCACAAAGTTATATAAATCATACCAGAAGGGTCAAATTTGGCCCAGTCCCTTAGGTAACATAGTTTATGTAGACATATACAGGAAAAAACATTTAAGTCTTCTTTTGTTTACATAGACAAAGTATACATGTGAAGTAAAAATGTCTTACTGACAACCCTGGATATCCTTAAATTGATAATTGACATTTTCCAAGATTGAAGCTGGACTGAGTTTAAGTCCGTTTTAGAAATTTGGCAACTTGAGGTTTCAGATGTCATATTTTTTATTTACAGCTTGAGGGAGTGGTCTGCAAGAGAGGCATTTTTAGAATTAGACAGAAGAGAAAAGGCGGGATTACCTTTAGTCGACCCATATTTAATACCCCCGGAGCAAATTGAACTGCCATCCGAGGAAGAGATTGGAGACACTGAAATTATCATCTAATTTGTTAATATAGACGGTTTATTATATGTGTGAAAACTGTGACAAGTTACTAGGTAATCTGTTGGAGGTTTAAAAAAAAAAGTAATTTTGACTTTAGTAGTAAATAAAAAGCTTTTTAGAAGATTTGTTAAAGAGTAAAAATGATATGACAAGAGTGTTTAGGATATTGTTTGATATATTTCATGTGTTTTGAAGTATAACTAGTGTAATGGTCTAAATTTGAACAGGTCTTGGTACCTGGGAACATTTTCGGCATACGTAATCACATTTGCTTAAGAATTTTGAAATGTTACCGTATTATTATAAATATTGAACTGGTCAGTGTACAATTTTGTGCTATAAAATACATGTTATCAACAATTTTCTTGTAATTTTGATGTTGAATTAATGTTTGTTGGTAAATAAATATTCAATAATGTTAAAGAGCAAGTTAGTTACACAGAAAGGAAAACTCATCTTTGAGAAAACTTGAAAAAATAGCATCAAATGACGTGATAGAAAGTCTCTATTCTATTTATGGATTTGATCTTGATGAAGTTTTCGTAATAAAAAATGTTTTATGATAAATTTCCTACTCTTTGTTGTATTACTTGTGCAGTTTGTGTCCTCTGCTACAGAGTAGCGTGGACATATAGGGATCACTTCCTGTTGTTTCTCTGTCCCTTTTTTTCTTACTACCAAATAGGGATAGGGGGGCATCTCTTACTGTCAACAGAACATTTTCAAGGTCAATAATATTTGTCAGATTTATGGCCCTTGTATATGATTTTGATTTTTAAAGTTTATCAGGACTTCTTCTCTTAAACTACATTGTGTAATTTAAATGAAACATAACAGGGTTGCTCTGCACCTGTACATACATGTATTCAACGGGTTTTCCAGTTGAATGAGTTTTTGCAGAGTTATGGCCCTTGAATAAAAAATAAATTTTTACCTTTATTTTTGTGTAGCCTGCTACATAGTAGCTGTTACATACTACACAGTAGTCAAAACTGATAGGGATCGCTTCTCTGTCTGTCTGAATGTACATGTATTTGAGCTGCGTCACGACAAAACCAACATAGTGCGTTTGCGACCAGCATGGATCCAGACCAGCCTGCACATCCGCGCAGTCTGATCAGGATCCATGCTGTTCGCTATCAGTTTCTCTACTTGTATTGGTAAGTGAACAGCATGGATCCTGATAAGACTGCGCGGATGCGCAGGCTGGTCTGGATCCATGCTGGTCGCAAACACACTATGTTGGATTTGTGGTGACGCGGCTCATTTATGTTTCACAAACCTTCCACACTACTCTTCAAAAAGTTCTGGTTCAATTTCAGTCAACCTACTAGAATCAGTTCTAATACTAGTTGTGTATATTGTCAGAATGTTCCATTTCATTGTTTTTAGCTCGACTATTCAATAAAAATAAGTAGAGCTATTGTAGTCACCCGAGCGTCGGTGTCGGCGTCGGCGTAACCACTTATGTTAAAGTTTTTGTAATACCTCAAATATTTTCAAAGTCCATTGACATATGGCTTTGAAACTTTGCACACTTGTTCACTACGATGATCCCAACCTGTAAACAGGAGGAGGTAACTCTATCAAGCATTTTGACAGAATTATGCCCCTTTTTCGACTTAGAATTAACGGTAAAGTTTTTGTAATACTGCAAATATTTTCAAAGTCCATTGACATATGGCCTAAAAACTTTGCATGTACTTGTTGACCATCATGACACCAACCTGTAAACAGGAGAAGGTAACTCTATCAAGCATTTTGACAGAATTATGCCCCTTTTTCGACTTAGAATATACGTTATAGTTTTTGTAATACCTCAAATATTTTCAAAGTCCATTGACATATGGCTTTGAAACTTTGTACACTTGTTCACCATCATGACCCCAACCTGTAGACAGGAGGAGGTAACTCTATCAAGCATTTTAACAGAATTATGCCCCCTTTTTGACTTAGAATTTACGATAAAGTTTTTGTAATACCTCAAATATTTTCAAAGTCCATTGACATATGGCTTTGAAACTTTGCACACTTGTTCACCACGATGATCCCAACCTGTAAACAGAAGGAGGTAACTCTATCAAGCATTTTGACAGAATTAGGCCCCTTTTTCGACTTAGAATTTACGTTAAAGTTTTTGTAATACCTCAAATATTTTCAAAGTCCATTGACATATGGCTTTGAAACTTTGCACACTTGTTCACTACGATGATCCCAACCTGTAAACAGGAGGAAGTAACTCTATCAAGCATTTTGACAGAATTATGCCCCTTTTTCGACTTAGAATTAACGTTAAAGTTTTTGTAATACCTCAAATATTTTCAAAGTCCATTGACATATGACTTTGAAACTTTGCACACTTGTTCACCATCATGATCCCAACCTGTAGACAGGAGGAGGTCACTCTGTCAAGCATTTTGACAGAATTATGCCCCTTTTTTACTTAGAATTTACGTTAAAGTTTTTGTAATACCGCAAATATTTTCAAAGTCCATTGACATATGGCCTAGAAACTTTGCATGTACTTGTTGACCATCATGACCCCAACCCTGTAAACAGGAGAAGGTAACTCTATCAAGCATTTTGACAGAATTATGCCCCTTTATCTACTTAGAATTTACGTTAAAGTTTTTGTAATGCCTCAAATATTTTCAAAGTTCATTGACATAAGGCTTTGAAATATGTTGAAATTTTATACTCTTCTTTGAGAGCATAATAGGACTCTCTCCAATGCCTATAACTGTAATATGGATTTAAAGAAAAATTTTGCCTTTTTCTTAACTGAGAAAATTTTACCTTTTAATCAAGGCTTTTTTTACTATCAAGCATTAAGACTAGTCGAGCGTTGCTGTCCTACCGACAGCTCTTGTTTGTTTGAGTTATGACCCTTTAATGATTTTATTTTTAAAAGTATGTCCAGACTTTTTCTATACTTCTAGATAAATGCAATATGATTAAAATGTTACAGGATTGATACGTACCTCAAGTATATATGCTAATTTTACAAATGCAACTGCTTAATTAACAATCATCAGGCGACACATGTGATCACTGATCACTCTTGTTATAAAAGCAACATTCTAAATTATATGCTTGAATAACTGATTTTTTTTTGAATTTTCAAAATAACCTGGGTCTTTTTGAATGGGGATACAGCGCAGTATTAAATTCAAAAAAGGGGGAGAAAGCTGAAAACCATTTATATTATGGGAACTCTGCTGGCTGGCGGAAGGGCATCATCAAATTTTGTCTTGATCATATCTCCTAGTGCATTTAGGGATTGTTATGAAATGTCATTATCATGACTGGCTGTGACACATGTAATTTAGGTCAATATATGCAATGTCAATGTCACTAAAAATGATGAAATGTCTAGATTTTGTCTTGAGCATATCCTCTACATGCATGGAAGAATTTTCATAATACTTTATAGAAATGTTCACTATCATGAAATGTATAACCTGGAATTTTCTCTACCCATTATGAAAATCTCACGGTCAAAGGTAAAGGTCACACTTAGAGCTAATTTCAAAACCCTAGTCTGGAGCAAAACTTAATAGGGGGATTGTAATTTAACATGGCACAAATGTTTACCATTGTGAGCTTGAGTATTGTGCGCAAAATTCAGGCCCTGTAACCAAGGTCAAGGTCACACATAGAGGTCAAAGTCCAGATGAAAATATGTATAGGGACCATTAAGTCATCATTCATTGAGGGATTGTAACACATCGGACATTATCATGACCACAAGTGTGGCATACGGAATAAGGTCAATATATGCAAGGTCAAGGTCACAGAAGATAAGAAATATCCAGGTTTTGTCTGGAGCATATCTCCTACATGCATGTAAGAATTGTTGAAATACTTTATAGAAATAGAAATGTTCACCACCATAAGACATATTGCTCCACCCATAATTCAGGTCTTTTATAATGTCAAAGGTCAAGGTAACACTTAGAACGTTTTGAAAGAAAAAAACACTTGTGTGGAATAAAACTTACATTCGTAAAGTTTTTACTATAATTTGGCACAAATGTTCACCATCGTGAGACTAAGTGTCTCAGGCAAAATTCAGGTGTTCACATGTAATTTAGATTGATATTTGGTTTATACAGACTTTTTTAGTTCGATTGTGTAGAAAGCTATCAGCTTATAGACACACTCAAATCTGTTCCTTGAACCAAACAGTACTGAGCAATGTGTGTAAAGTTTCTTGCTCAAGGTAACAACATCTTGCCCCCGACGGGGTTTAAACCCACGCCGATAGCGATCCTTAGATTACTAGTCCGACGCGTTAACCACTCGGCCATGCCGAACAATATTTATATTTTCATGGTCAATGTCAACAGAGATGATTAAATATCCATAAAATTGGCCACAGCATATCGACATGGATGGAAGAATTTTCATGTTACTTAATAAAATGGTTCACATATCTCTCTGAATAATGCGTGTGTAGCCCAACAAATTGTGCGCTTTAGGACTTTTTATTATATAGACGATGGTCGCCGACAGACATCTATGAAATATCAGATGATAAAGTCGGTCGGTTTTGCAATCGAAAAATTGAGACAAATGCTTGTGATTCGTAAAATTCAGACCCCTGCAACCAAGGTCACCACACAATTAGAGGTAAAATTTTAGATAAAAGAATGGAACCAACTTGCTTGCCACACTTCTTATTGACCACATCTCCGTGACGGGCATATTTTGTGACAATGTCACCCTTATGAATATATCGTGTTCAAGAGGAAAACATGACTCCATTTAGGGGAAACATGTAAAAAATATTTTGGGTAGGTAATTTTCACAGAAAAAAATCCACATTGTTGACTTCATATAAGTAGGACATGTAAGGGAGCTTACTTACATCAGTGTTTCTACATTGGTGCTCCAGTCTGATGAATTTTTCCTCCACTAGGTTTACTTGAAAGTCACCATATTACATTTAATCCGAACCTGTCAATTACATGTATATTGTTTATTGTTTTTGGCTCACTGCAGCACAAAATGTTATTGTTATTCATCGTGAACAATATCTCTTCTGAAACCAATGGGGGTTATGGGTTTTCCTGGTATGTATATAGTAAAATCTTTAATTCCCACAAAGCTGTAAAACTGCTACAAATTGGGTTTTTTAAAATAAAGAAATGGTTATTTCATTAACACATTTTTCTTAGTGCTTGTCAGTTTTACCAAAGATAATCTTGTGACTGTAAAGTCCAAGATTTTAGTGGGAAGTGAGATTTAAGGCTTACAACGCAAATTGCAAATAAGTATTGGAGGTAATGTTTCCAAGTTGCCTTAAGAGGTCTTGATATATATATATATAAACAAACAAAAAATCTTTTCATATACATTTTACATGATTTATTTGAAGTTAAAAAGTATAGTTCATGATCATCACTTTTCAAGTAAGAAAAATATTAAATAAGTTGAAACTTTTCTACAGATAATGAAAATATAATTGTTGTTGTTGAACTTTAATTGTCTATATTTTTTCCAACAAGATGGTAAACTTTTGTAATTTTTTGTATTTATGTCTAGAATATAGTAAAGTGTAAACTGTAATAATATAAAGTAATTAACGCCTTTTGAAAAAGTGTCATTTATACATCTAATACCTTAAAGCTACGTTAAATAAAAATGGAAAAATAATTTACTGTCAGCCTAAAAACCAAGCATTATACAGTTTCATTAATCTTTTTAACAGTATTGTTGTAAATCTCATTAAATATTATTCATAAATTACGATTTTAAACGGAAAACCCCATGGTAACACTAAAGTTCGTATACGAATTTTAACATGCAAATGAAGACTATAATCAGCTACGTCAAAGTGTTATAGTTGCTATACAGAACACAGCAAATATGAGATTTTCATGTGCAAACACACTTTAACCGTTTTAGCTTCACGGTGCACTTGGCATGGCTTTCAGGAAATAGTAATCATCTCATAATGATATTAAATTTGTATGCAAACATACGTTACAATGCGGATATATACCGTTATATTAGGTCTGCTACTTATAGCCATGTTTGTTGATTTAATATTGATGTACGGATGATCCGAAGGCGGAGTTTCATATGCAAACAGAAATTGTAACAATGAGGTCGCAGATATTTAAGATTATAAAACTTTTTTTGGTTGTCTTGATACTTAAATAAGATCTGGAGTCGATATGAAACCCAATTTATTAATGAAATGTCGCTATTTCTGTTTTTATGAAATTTATTTAATGTAGCTTTAAGGTGATACTACATGTACATGCCAAATATCTAAGCTCTTGGTATTGTAATTACTATTGTTTTTTTTCTTCTCAATCTCCAACTCATCTCTAAATATGTGAAAAATATGTGAAAAATAATGTGAAAAATAATAATGAAAATATAAAAAAGCATGCTTTAAATATATTGTATAACAGAAATTACAGTTAAACCTGACACATCCATATACATGGAATATCGGCACACTTAGTTTTTTTGTCATTCACTTCTTTACAAAAATTTCGTTCATACTTGATGTTATGCTGTTGTTTCCTTACAATTCTAAACCGCCTCTTGCGTTTTATATTTGCTTAAAGCTGCATGCCTCCAGGTGAGCCAAAACTTTTCAAGAAAATAAAACTTGGAAAAACTGTACTAAAATTTAAAGAAAAGTAAACAGATTAAAGATCCTGGTGATAATTTTTTCTTATGTGCAATTAATGACTTTTGGCAGTATTTATCACCATATTTCTACTGCGTTACTAACGCAGTAGGGGTTATTTATGCATATTTTGACCTCTATTTGGTAATTTACGTTGATTATAAGTGCCGATTGCAATGTGTCAATTACATTCTTTGTTCATTTCACAATATTTTACTTTTAAATACATTTTCAAAATTTTCATAAAAATTAGGATGAATCTTGAGGCGTGCTGCTTTAATGAGTTGAGAGGTATAAATCAGAAGATATTTAATACAAAAGCGCCAATTCAATACAAAAGCGCCAACCATAAAAATAAAAATACGACAAAGACATTACATCGTCAAAATTTGATTTAGATGGCAAAAATATTAGAAGAAAAAATATGAAAATGAATATTAATATAAAGTTTATAACAATATGGCTTATGGATTTTTTGACATCCTACTAGTTTGTCACGTGTCCGATTTCATTCCATGTATTTCCTTGATTATACTTAGTCAAAACCTATGTATAACTTGATGAGAAACTGCTGTTCATCTCTTAAAGCTTTTAATATATACAAATGTATTTACACATTTTTCGTTCTATTTAGCTGTCTATAGCTTTAAAAACAGATTCCAGTTTTGACGAGAGAGACGAAAAACTTGCGGTCGTAGGTGTTTCTGTATTGTTCATCGCTTTGTAGATCTGAAATTGACAGCAACAAAGGAAATAAATGTCTTTTGTTCAGTGCTAGATTAACTTATTAACCTCAGGATTTCATATGACATTAAAACCCTTCTTTTTAACAAACTTAAATATGCAATTGTCTGTATTTGGATTGATTCTAATTTCAATTCATTTTTTATACTTTAGTGAGATTATTGCTTGTATTCAGAAAGATTATTGTCCTATTGACTTTCTATAAAATAAACTTTAATGACATTAATTCATACTCTTGAATGGCGATTTCTATTGAACCGAAACAACTTGTTACGTCTCCAGATTTTTAATTGATATAGTTTTGTTTAAATAATTGAACACGTTTAATAGAATATATCAAAAACTTCTTTTACAGGAAGTATCCTATATAAATTTTGGAGATATCAGGATGAAAATTAATGCTATTCAGTCAATAGCATATAAAGCCTGGTCAGACTACATACCGACTGCATTGATAATAAGACACTTTGGGTGTTGAGCCTTAAAGTGTATATTTGTCGATCCCAGCACATTTACTTATACTGTTATGAAAAAAGTTCATATCTCAACATATAAGTGTATTATTATAGACGTTGAAATATGAAAATATTTTCAATACAGCTTATATTAAGTTATATATATATATTTATATATATTGATAAGTATATATGCTGGGATTGACAAATATATACGTTTAGGCGTTTGGAGCTCCACACCAAGTGTCTGTGCATTGAAGTGCTGTGTATTTGTTGAAACGTTTCATCATTTTTTGTTTCAGCCGGTAATAGGTCTAATATAAAAACAATATTAAATGTTGATGGTGTACCTCATTCCTGTATTTGGCTGCATATTCATACATTTGCATTAAAGCACTCGATTGGTTGAACCTGCCATAAAATTTCTGAAAAAGAATCAGGCTACGTAAGAACAAAAAGAAAATATGTAAATACATTCATTGTGATTTAATTATTTTCTAATAAAGCCTTTAAGGTCATTGTGATATGTAAGGGTCCGTACGTACGTGATAGCAAAAGGTGCATTTTGTGCCTTAACGGTCGAACGGACCCTCATTAAGCTTAGACTTATGTTACGTTACATACATTAATAACAATATACAATCAAAGTGCTGCAGCACTGAATGCGACGGACATGCAACCGGAGAGACATTAAGGCTTCTTTTAGAAAAAAAAAAAACAAAAAAAAAACACACAAAATATATAACAGAGAAAATTTGTTCCATACAAGTTCGAGATTTGTAGAGCAATATATTTTGTGTCCCAAATTGATATAATTCAGATTTTCTACTTTCAAGCACTTAAATACAGAATGAAATTTATGCCTAAAAACTCTGGTCAAACTTGTAAATCAAGTGTCCTTATCGATTTATTCTAAGAAATGATATGTAAATAGAAAAAAAACTATCAACGAAATATTTCTAGAATAAATCCAGGCAAATAAACGTCAAACATAATACATTATACATTTGAGAATGCTATTTAGAATTGCTTCGTGTTATATCATAGTGGGCATACAGACAATAAAATATAAGTCATTTGTATTTTTATTTCTCTTGGATATGTCTCATTTAAAAAAAAAATTGTTAAAATCATCAGCAATTAATAGTGTATTTCTTAGATTTTTTTTATTTACAAGGTAAAGATGTAGAGGCCAGAGCACATCGTTTTTATTTTAATTTAAATGTCACTTAAGCACTACAGTGTTTAGTTGTCCTTTTCAACTTCACACTAAATTCCATTTTCAACTTGTTTGCTTCTTACAATTGTATAGCATTTCTAAAAGTATTGCATGTACACAATCCGCTGGTTTATTAATTACATGTTTAATGTGTACTTCCTAATCGCCTGTCCAAAATCAGAAACAGGTGAAGCAGAATCTATTTTTAGAATAGCGAAGGTTAACTCATATCATGACCTAGTAAAATATGTAAACAAACCACAAGAATCGGAAGTAGAACTGATATTATATACTTTCCTTACCATGTAAGACTACATGGCGGTAAAGTGCCTTACATGCATTTTCAAAAATAGATATTTATACTAACCATTGTACTGTATCTTAATATATTAATAACTGGCTGAATATTCAGCTAAACCCGCGGTATGAGTCCACGAAAATAGTTCTTCTTTTATTAATGCGCAAGTTATCCTAGAGTCACGAAAAAACTTTTGATTTGTTAATAATAATGTTTTGTATAATGTAGAAATATTTATTTCCTATTAAAAATGTCTTGGAACTCAGAGGTTACACCTTTATTGTAGTATAATTTGCTGTCCTACTTTTTTCGACAGCGGTAAATCGTTTCAGCAGTAATTTGCATATTGCGCAATAATACTACGGGACTACAACGTTTTTATCAATAATATACGTTCATATTTTAACTTGGATAACTTAATTTGAAATTGAAAAGGCTAAATATGGCACTGAAGACATTAAGATATCCAGACAAAGTATGGGAGTTTTGAAGGATCAAATTCATGTACTATTTCTTGGGCTGTTAATTGGTTTAGGACACATTGCGCGATTGTAGCCAACGAAAAATCCCATGTGTAGATGACTCTTATCTCTGAACGCGCCTGAGGGCGCGTCCGTCGCAAAAATGATCATATGATTAGTCATATACACTCAGATACATATTATAGACAGGCGATGGTGCACACTGTTATAATATAATCTTAAGATAAAATAGAAACGAGTATGCAATTTTCCGAACAAAACAGATACAACACAATGTACGACTGTTTCTTACCTGTGATACTTTTGATCTAAGGTACGAATTAAGTTCATTGGGCTCACTGATTGCTGGCGACATTTCAGTGTACCTTAAAGTACTGGAATCGTACCAAGATTGTATTCTGTATTATGGGAATGTGTTCTGGCAAACAGGAGTTTAATTTGATGGGGTGAACTCTAAACAACGACATAGAGTTTAAATTTAAAAAAGTGCCTCATTATTTACTTCCATTAGCTACATATTTTATTAAGAGTCCAAATCGAAAACTATTAAAATTAAACTCGTATGACAAAACGGGTCCAAATTAATTTACTAAAAAAAGAAATAGTTCAGCAACCAACACTAAAGAGAAAAACTACTTCAAAAATATTTGTATGCAAAATACAATTAGCATAAATGTTGATGCATTATCAACCTTTTCATTAAATGTTATAATATTACTTTCCCTACTTCGGACCAATAGAATCAAGGTCTTAGCTTGCCTTTAGAGCAACTGTCCATATAGGAGTTGGCAGCAACCGAACACAGACAGACAGCAGATCGACATATATAATCTGGTTTTGCTGAACCTCAACACAAACTCGGGCTTCTTGATAAGTGTCATCCCAAAATTTCGTAGCAACAAAACATATAATCATTTACAGGAGTAATCCAAGCTTTAGTCTAGTGAAAATAACAAATTACAGCAGGTGTTAAGTTAATACATACGAACAAAATAATCCAGAATCTCAAATTCTGGAAAAACCAATTTCACGCTTGTTGACACTTTGTTCTCGACGTAGCGTGATTATATTGTCTCCTACCATACTCATCTGGATTAAAATCAGCTCTACAAAACGCTCCGCTTTTTGCGAGCTCTAGTACCGTGGCTACCATAATATCAGAATCGATTTTCTGGTGCACCTTTCACCAGACATTATCAGTGCGAGCTTTTCATATATTTTGAAAGCGATATTTTATTTCTTATTTTTTTCCCCTCGGGGAGAGAAAACCGAATTCTTAGTGGTAATTTTTCACCTCGGTTTTTGAGTAACAAACTGGCTGATTTGTATCCACTATAGGCCGACAGTTCGTAAACTGGGTTAAGCAATTCTTACCGCATTGAAAAAAGGATCCTCCCTATGTTTTCAAGCTTTTTCGTTAAAAATTAATATGGAAACAAAGTTGATCCCTCGGAATTCAAACAGGTTGATTGCATGGCTAAAAATAGTCGAAGAAGGCGAAACACTTGAACTTTAGTCAGATTGCATTCTTGCCATTATGCTATTTTAACGTTTCTTTTTGTTAAAATCGAAGAACAAATACTTTTAGTGGTTAAAGTTTAAATGTATTTGATATTAGAATCATCGATTTTATCAAAATCAAAGATACAACGGAAAATTCCTACAAGTATCAGGTACATGTTCATAATTTTTATTTTTGAATCAATCAATATAACCGAATAGAATTTCACTTATATACCTATTGCACTTCCAGGTATGTAGAACATCCGGATCTTCAAGACCGCACCTTGAAGCCGCACTATCTAGGTAGTCAAACAGAAACTTAATAATAATTGGCGGCTCCTCTCCGACACTCAGGACGGCCTGAAATAGGTCGTCAATGTACGTCTGCAACGTGCCCTGAAATACATGGAACGCGGCGGTGTTTAGGGTCTGATTTCAACCAAATTGGTATTTGAACATGTTTCGATTGAATATGATAGGAATATTATAGGATCTCTGTAGTTTTATTCTATAAGCATTTAATATTCTAATATATATCTTTTGGTTAAGTTTGTTTGAAACATTTGAGGTTGTTATAAATTGTATGTGTTGTGCTACTTTATCATTGTCCTGCTGCATATTTAAATGTAATTCCACCTTTTCAAATTTGAAACTTGCACTTTTGTGCATGTTGGCTCCAAGTCTCGTACCATTAGTGGCGAGCCTTTCTATTTGACTATTTTAAATAAACCGCATCAGGTGCGGCGTGCTGGTAAGTAAGTTTGATCAATGAACGGTTTATATACCATTTCTGCTGTAAATTGTTCTGTTGTATGCTAGGTAAATTATCACTTCTTAAAAGACAACGCCCCGCTAACATACTGCGCCATGCTTTCAAAACATCATTTATTTAAGACTAATTCGCTAAATGCAATCAAATAGAAGGACCACAATGATACCAACAACTTCAATCTACATTCAATACAAAATATAAATGGTTAGCAACACGATTGATGCGTAATGGGAGTAAATTTTCATATACCAAGCAGGAGTTCGACAGAAATCAATCATTTAGTGTGTATATTTACATTATCCTTATTATGAATCTGAACTTGATAGAAACATAAGAAATACACTCAAACTATATGTAGGTAAACAAATAACTGTATAAGGTAAGAGCGTCTTTTAGTCATTGGGAATACATGTCTTTGTGTACAGTAATGAACGCACAAAATGATAAGTCGAAATTAAACTGTAAACTCGGTTTTAAAGATACAATGGATAAATATGACATCCGCATTCTGTCCTAGCGGCCATGTCTAGCCGTATACACCTTGCGCAGGTACGATCCGACATGACGTAGCTCCAGCACACGCGCGTTACACCGAGGCGCTAACACCGACGACGAGGTTAGCAATTACGCAGACTCTCTACACGGAAAACGACAACTAGGTATTCCAGCAGAGGTATTGAAAGCGGGTCATTTCCGTCGATTCTCTCTTAAGCTCTCCAACTCCCTTACGCTTGTTTAAGCAGTCTCGGGAGAAATAGATCACTGGATAACTGCACTTCGTCATTTGTCTGATGCTTCTTTGTCTGAAATAAATATCCAGAAAAACCTTATTCCTTTTGTTTTGTTCTGGAAGGTTTAACATATGCATAATGCTAAAATGGCATAAGTATGATAAAGTATATATTTAAAAATATTAACATCGACAATTACTAAGAAAGTTATCTCTTAACTATTCTATTTCGATTTTCAAAGATATACTATGCTCATCCTTAGTAAAATATTTTATTCACAGTTCTAAATATTTTGAAATCTAGGAAATTCTTACTGAATATGTCTAATTTGAATAAAAGAACGAATAAACTATGTATTGGAAGCTACGTTCCCTATTACAGGTCAAGTAAAATTAGTATTTTCTTATACTGACACTATATTATCATATTGTGACCACCTATTGTGTGTTGAGTTTAAAACATAACATATCTACACTGTATGACGTCTAAACATGTTTATTTTATATTTATAAAGAGACTGTATAGCAATAATCAATATTTTCTTAGAATATCTTCAAGGGATTTTAATAACAAAATAAGAAAATGCAGCTGTGTAGAGTACAGAGCCTGTCATACTTCACGAAAGTGCAAGATGGCCCACTATTGGTTCCAACAGGTGAAAAATTAAGTTGAATATTCAAACATCTAAACATTACCTCCAGGGCAACCGATCCAAATTGACTTGCATAGGTGGCTGCTGTTTATGCCAAAGTTAAAAATGTGAACGATTTATAGTGTCTCCCATAAGTAGGCTATCAGGTAACATTTATATAGCTTTTTATTTTGTACAATGTCATTTTCCTCTTCATGCTTATGTAATACGTGTCACATTCAAACAAAGATTCTTTTATTTTATTAAAGAGTATTACATACTGGTATTTGTACTCCTCCAAAATGACAAACAAGGTAAGAATAGTATCACATGCATATTCATTAAGGATTAAATATCATTAAGAACTGCATGGAAACATGTCTCAATAAAGCAACTATCAGTCAAATGCAATTTTCAACTAAAACATAATAATATTATCTTCTCTGTGTACACTCAAAAGATGCTTTTTTACAAATTCACGTAAGCCACGCTGGCGTGGCTATTTACTAAATATATACCATAGCAATTTTAAGAAAAGAATAATGTCAATGCACAAATATTCAATGTTAGCTTAAAACTGACTACTTAAGGTATTACCACACTAATGGGCACTATAAGGAACTAAAAATTGACATCATAGGTCAGATATATACCTTAAAGTACAATTGTATGCAAAATTTAAACAAAGTTTACCGTAGGGAAATCAAGTTATGGCCACTTTTTTGAACTCAAGCTAGGATGTTATGAGGGCCCTTTTTAATGCAGAAGCGTTTTTTTTAGAAAATGAGGAACCTTTAAATAATCTGCAATAACATTCAAATGAAAAATGTTTTCCCATTTATTTTTGGTAAGAAACAAATAGTTACATTCAGTTAACAATCCATATAAGCAAAATTATGGTTTTCTACTTAAAATTTATGAAATCTGTATAAAAATGTTACCCTACCCCACCCATTTTTACCACGTGTCTGACCATATTCCTAACTTAGGGAGCCTAATTTAAAAAGTCCTTTAAATTTACCCAAATGAGTGCCTGTTTTCAAGTTTCCCTAAATTTTTAAAGAAGTATATTGGTTGATCTTGTAAAATATGAAATACTTTTACCGCCTAGTTTGATTTTATTACACTTTGAAAATATCAGGTACCATATTTATTACTAGATTTAGCATAATTTAACCAAATACATTACCTATATAAATTAAAAAAAATCACTTTTTTTCTTTCCAAATGGGACATGAGAGATACATAAATAATGTTAAAGGAAAAAAAAAAGAAAACCCTTCTGGGGATTGAACCCACGGCCCTCATTTTCAATGTAGTTAACAGTAGTTTAGCCTATTTGAATACTCTACAAAGCGGAGGTAATGCATTAGGATGGTAATACCTTAAAAATTACGTTCTTTCATATTTTTTCCAGTAAGACGAATTAACAATAAAGTTTGCAAACTTTATGTCTTGCTTATTGAGATGAAGTAAAATTTGTGAAGCATAATTAAGACATGCAAGGTAAAAAAGCAAACCGCTGTCAGATATCAGGTTTTTGAAGATGTTTTATTTAAAAAAGTTTTTTTTTTTTTTAAAACCCCCATTTTCATAGAATAAGTAACGAATCTATATCGACACGTGGAAGAGCGCAGACTCCACTACCGATGCCCCGCTTGATCCAAGCTAGTCGCCGGATCCAGACGACCGACTGAGAAACGCCTCACGACTCCCGGGATACAGAGGGCCCACGAACATTTACACAAGCTGTTGTTCTGCAGTATGTATAAATGAGCATCGCTTACAGTTCCTCGAACCACGTTCGAATGGTCAATTGACACTAGTAAGCATCATAAACATATGTAACACTAATTAAATATACTGTGCAGTGCAATCATCCATATTCTCCATTACCGGATACCAGGTGACCAAAGTTTTGACCCACTGACCGGACCATACATTGGTTTTCGAACATATCTAGAAATTAACTGACAAATGAATGAAATCTCGGTGCTGATCTGTAAAACCAGAACAGATTAGGTTGTTAAAACAAAGACGTGCGTACATTGAGGGACACGGCGCGTTATCCTACTCATTCTACTGTATTGCACAACATGTTAGACCAAAAACTTCGATGTGAATATTAACTAACAGCCAGTGCGTTGCACTTTTTCTCAGTCTTGGGCCATTAAACTGGAGCTAAATTCTACAATTATAAATGTGCCTATCACATCATTTATGATGGAAAAGTATTGTTAGAAGTTTGCATGCTATCTAGCACGGTCTTTGGAGATTACATGCCACACATGTGTCTGAAAATAATATTTTCTGTTTACCATGGGGAATCACAATTACCATATGTGTTTTGTCACAAGCTTGGTTACATTCTTGATTATGAACTGGAAAGTCTTAATGGTTCTGCAGCTCGCTTTTGGAGAGAAAAATGCCACACAAACCTACAACACGTTATGATGGTGACAGAACAAAAAGGACGGTCGTTACTCGATACGAACATTTTGGATTTTACTAGGTTCCTCTTTCGACATTTAAGTGGGTGTTTCATACAGTTACTGAGTGTTTATTTCGGCACATTAGTCTTTATACAAACGCAATAATGCTCGTTAGACTGTAGACCTTGCCTATGCTGTTTTACCTATCCTCATTATATTGTTACCAAGTCCAGCCAATATAGATCGTGGTCGCCATCCATAATGACCTATATCCGGTATATAAAGTGGTCTCTCTTCGATTCACTGTCATCACTAAGCTAGTCGAGTGTCGATTTAGAGACCGTTATCCTCTATGTAATTATTATCTTCACTAACTCGCAGAACTGCGGTGCTTTGTCAACATGTGATTCTTTAATCGAATAGTCCTCATTGTGTTCAGGACGCACACAGCGGTCATATTTCTTCACGTAGCTTTCCAGCGCCTCGCTTATTGTGAACTCCTAAGAATGTAGTCGTGCTGTAAGTTTGTCGTACTTCTTCTGTATTGCTTACTGCCAGCATCCAATTTATATCTTCATTTCTAATTCCTTAGGGAAAGTCTCATCCATCATACTCAGATGACTTCGTCCGCACGCCCCTAATATGACATACTCTCTTCCTTACTTTTTACGCAGCGGCGTATAGATGGTTTATGCTGCTTCACTATAGCGTGTACAGAGTTTGAAATCCTAGGATATGGCCTTTACATTGATATAATTTTTTTTTGTCTTACAGTAATAATATATATCATAAAATGTTGCTTTTCGTCTAAGATCGCGCTTGCATATCTTTATATGACGAGTAGATACCAACTAGAAAAACATTTGTTACACAAGATTTCTATTACACATTTCAAAAGTATCAAACAATATTACCTGTTCTGTGCTACTGTACTGAAGTCTCTGCGCTAGTATGGCACATTCTTATAAAATTCTCCATGACATTTTAGCCTTTGCTTGAGTGACAGTGTCACAGTCAAGAACTTGAACAGAAAATCTGTTTTTCGTGTTTTCAATATAAACTCAAAATGACGATGCACTCAAAAGCTATTAACGTCGCCTACGGCGACAGCGAGACGCTTGGAGTAACGTCAAGGTTCCTGAGAGTGATAAATAAAAACAACTGTTAATTCTTCAGCTGAAATCGTTATCAATTCTGTATATATAATTTCAAGTATTTCATAGCAAGCTTTCACGTTGGTTGCCTTATTCAAAATATACTACTCAAAATGTGATATGGGTCACTGTTTTCTCCGATGGCAGCTTCTCCAATAAGATGAGCAGAGATATTTATTAGAACCCAAATTAAATTTATGGCGTTTGTGATATAGCCATGCAAGGAAATGATAGATTTGTATACGTATGACGACAGATGAAGCATGTAAAGGAATTCTTGAAGCACAAAATCAAGATTTTGACATTAATACGAATACTACATGTCTGGATTTTCCTTTCTTATAAATTTGCAATTAGCTTTTGTGATGCATTCGATAGAATTATCAAAATTCAAGGAAGGAGTGGCAAAAGTCCTGACAAGATGAATAGGGTGTGTTGCCCGCACCTGTAATGTTTCCGACATTGTTGTTCAACGAATGTTGAATCTTTCCGAATTGAAGAAAATGTAGCATATTTAAATGGTGGTGGTCGTTCTTGGTGTACAGTTTGTAGGATGGAACAAATGTTCGGGTATTTAAACGTCTTGCCATTTGTGTTCCTTTGACGAATTACAAAGCCAGAGAACGCCATGCGACTGTACGTGTGTAATGCCTACACTTCATAGACGTGTTTGAATGTAAAGAAGACCAAATGAACATTTTGCACTAGCTTGCGTCTTCAAACAAGACCGACACATATGCAGGTGCAATGTGTCCAGATTATATTCTAATGCAGGTCAATTCTCGCCCACACTACGGAATACATTGAACGTGATGAAATTTGGCCTGCCGGATCCCCGGGCCTTAACCCACTTTTACAATGTTCGGCAAGTTACGATTCGCTTAGATAATTTTACACTCATGTTTCAGTTGAATAATTCAGTTATCAAGTAAACAATACAAAAAGAACTTAATCATACAACCAGTTGGCCCATATCATTTTTTGAGTAGTACAATGCATTATTATGCATTTAAAGTCTTGAATCAACAAAATAATAGAGCTGTAAACATAAGCATCGAGCTCCTCCATTTTACACCATCCATGTATAAAGTTATAAATGTTCCAAACACATCGCATCGAATTAAAACAAAATACTTCCTTACCACAATGCAGGCTTAAGCATTATATACTTAACCTTGAGCAACTGAATGTATGTAATAGATTTGCCAAGCCTGGCGTTTTGGTCAGTTTTCAAAATGGAATGAATTTTAAAATAAAAAAAAGTATCCAGTAGTTTGGTTCTGTACTGGTGGCAAACATTGTTGGGTTACAACATGTTAAGGTTAATGTAGGAATATGATTAACTAAAATGTAAAAGTAAAATAAAGTGACCACCGATTAAAGTTTTAAAACGTTACCAGAGTGACTGGATTGATCTCGGTATCGGCCGATGTGATCAGTTTATCCTCCGAAAGCGTATATTTCCCACAGTTTGTAATGTAGTCCATCGGTCCTTTCTCGGTCTGAATTTTAATTGCTTTGTAAAGTATATACAAGGCTGATCCAGAACACTCTTTAAGGTAATGGTACAAACAGATTGACAACCAATGGGTGAGGAGTTTCTCGGCCACACATTCTGATCTATAAATAGAACATACTTATAACTTTTCATGCATATGAAAAAAATACAACGCGTGTACATTTTATGCATCACTATAAAAGGACAACAATTAAATTCACTGAAGAATTTCTATTTGTATTTGCTTACTTGTCATTTATAGCTGATGTTTTGTTTCCTTATCAAGGGGAATTTTGCATTCTTGAAAGTCCAATTACCAACTTATACAAATTATTCATTTTTATAACTACAATTTATCTGGGTGGTGGCTATTGTAGCTACGCATAATTTTAGGATATATTTTAGAAATTTAGCTTGTTACCATACTTTATCCTTGTTTTTCTAATCTTTGCTCATTGATAACATCTGACTTTATGACATTGAAAAGCAATAATAAGATTAACTAATGAATGACTAAAATCGTCTTTAAGCCTCCAACATTGTCTTTGTTTAAAACTTAGTCAAGGTTGGTTTCATACGTTTTTGATAAATTCATTTGTATTATTTTGCATAATATAATAATCTGATTGCCATGAAAATGAATACATGTATCTACAGGTAAGAATGATGAATACATATATTTATTTACCTTCTGAGGAGAAGTTTCGGTGTACCTGATGCAATGTTCTTGTCAATCAGGTCATCTAGCAGTGTTGTTAGTATTCTGAGGAATTTAAATAAAATGTAGTTTTGTTTCCATTTGTTGAATTTATAAGCGATATAAAGCAACTGCTAAGATAAGACGTTTCATACTATCTATATAGATTTACAAACGACTTGATACGTGATAATTGAACGATACCCAAGCAAGTTAAAATAGGCTTAAAAAAGAAAAGGAGAACTACATTTGTTACTTAACATTATTTAGAATACTACATTTCTATCTTTGAACAGCCAGTCATTGCGTCTGAAATCTATTTAACAATTCATTAATACGCTGCCTTAAACTATAGCAGGTCAATGTAATGTTTGTAGGTTTGTAGCGCATGTTTTAGTAAATATAAGTATATAATCATTTTGATACAGAAAAGATTGACGTGACTTACCCAGTCACATATTCCATGTTGTCGTGATTAAGAATCATCAGTATTGTGGCAACATTTGACCTGTAATATTCGAAGTATATAATTGGTTTTATACATCAATAAAATGTATAATTTTTTCATTAAACAAAGAAAAGAAAAAATCTAGTGTTACCATTTGCCCTGTTATACGAAAACAACATATCTAATTATTTTTGCTGTAAAAAAGAAAAGAAGAGCAAAGAAAAACATTTTTCCTTTCAACATTTTGATGTTTGCCATATAGACACGTTAATAATATCAGTTATTTATTATATTGTAATTAAACAATTTGTTAATTCATAATTATATTTATGAAATATAGTCATATTGTTTTCCCATTTCTTTTTCTTTTTCTCTGTCTGCAGCTTCGATTCTGGCCATAACATATTCTTTGATAAACAGAACCATAAAATGTACAAAACGGAATTGCTAGATGCTATTTATAATGTATAAACGTGATAAAGCTATAATTTATGTTTTCTCAATTCTATATAATGGATCATATGAACCATATTTTCATGGAAACAACATTATTTAACTTATTTATTGATCATTCTAGACCGCTTTCGTGAACTACCCAGTTTGTATACAATACGAGGAAGCATGACCGTTACAAGATTAACCATTATGCCACAAGGAACTGAAAGTAATTACTCTTTGCTACCAATTAATATTGAGTCAGGAAAGCATATACACCCATATACACCCATGCAGTCTGATCAGCCTCTATACTGTTGGTAGCTCATTTATTATATTAAGATAATGAAATCTCTTTAACTGAATTGATCGTTCCAAACAAATCAAAGCAGGGCAAATCCACACACAGGTTCAGCAGGCAGGTAATGGGTCGAATAAGCAGTCTATAATTTAATGATATACAACCATAGTTAAATAGGCTACTTAAACATTCTAAATTACTCTTTGTGATAATTATGATAATCATATCTTACTTGTCATTTATTGTAAAAGATTGCTCTTTCTCCAGTGTTTTAATCAACATGAGAAGAAACTGTCTATTACGTAATAAACCTTTAAACGAATCCAAAGCTTGTTGAACCTGTTCAGTCTGAAATAAAAAGTAGCAATATACTTTTTAACGCACATGACTACAGCACACTTTTAGACAGTCGGTTATCACGTTCTTAATATACATGTATGTCATTTTTTCTAAATATGAGCGTCCAAAAAGCCAACGGAAAACTTTGAAATAAAAAAAAGGATAATGATGCAGATAAGAATGGTGGTATTCCATCTTTGAACTGTTGTTAACTTGACTACTGCACTATTTAGTATTTTGGCTCAAGCATTTAGATCTATTATGGTCTTCAATTACAAATCCGTTCCTTCGCGTCAGCTATCAGATTCACCCAGTTCTAATCTAAATCTATGAAAATGAACTAAGATAGTGCCGATGTGCTCTGTTGTCATAAGGTTTTGGTACAGTCTATAAGCCAGTGTTGTTCCAAATCTTTGGAGGAATGTTGGTAAATTTTGTTTTGACGAAGCATACTTGTGAAAAATATAATAATGTCAATATGCCGCTCTTGCCTTAATCACATACAGATGGACGATGGAGAATATATCAACTATAACTCACCAGTGAACCTGTAAACGAAAGCATTAACAGAAAATGTATTGTATAAAACACGATCTTGTCTCCAAAAGAGAGAAGAAAATGATATTATTTCATGCAATATTTGAAAATTTACAGGCTTTGATTGTTTGGTTCATCAACATGTCTGACTTTTGTGATGAAAAAAGTGTTTTACTCGCATACACATCATATTCTCGAAACAAGGCGTTTTTCCCTCCTCTCAAATCGCTTGTTAAATCAGAGACGGCAGTTTGTAATGCAGCGAATTCTGAAACAAAATTTGTGATGATTATTATTGAGTTGATTAATCTTTGTATGATTATAATATAGGAGTTAGTTTGGAGCTAAATATTTAATAAGTTTCAATCATTCGTATAAGAGAACAAACACATTGCTTGAAAATCATCAGATTATCCCAATGAGATAATGTATAGATACACGATTCATTAAGTGAAAAAAAAGAACTCTTTATATATATTCTTCAAAAACAAATTATAATAATCTTCAAAAGTCAATGGCTCAATTAACAAATGTCTGCAAAACATTTGAACTAGTCTGAGAATATGCTACTTTTATCTTAAGATACTTTAATTATTTGTTTTCTTTTTGTAAATTTTCAATTTTAAATTGCGTTAAATTTGGACGGATATCAATATCAACACTAAATTTAGGCAACAAACAGTATTGAGATTTGACAGACTCGTCAGTTTACTGATAACCTATCCTTTTATCGTGTATGAACCGAAAGTGTTTGTGCTTTAGCCGCCAGTAAAGAAGCAGATCAGCCGATACTTCCGTGCTGTCTTTATAATGTTGATACCTTATTTATTGTAGTTTGTACTAAAATCCCTTAAAGTCCAGTCCACTAAATGAACTATTTCAAATTAACAGTTGAGTAAATCCATTACACACATTTACCATGTTAAAGCAATCATTGTTTTAAGTAATTAAGAGGAGATACCAACCTTCCCTGCATTGTGTTCTAAACTTTGCTTCTATTTTATCCATTTTATAGCAGTAGACCGGCTTTCTCTTTCTTCATAAGCCCTTCGTTTTCTACACATTTACAAAGACAATACCACAGAAGACAAAGATCAGGAATCCCTACAACGCTTCTTGTTTATTATTTGCTCGGCCCTTGTATCATCAATCGGCTTAACAGATGGATCATTGGTATGTGAATAATTTACCAACAATTCTTGGACAGGAAATCCGATATTCACCTTTAAAAGCAAATATTTGCTGGCGTTAAAGCATTTCATTCCTGAGCACATAGATGTTTTTTAAGCATTTTACCTTATGTTTATTAAGTATTTACAACCATTTAGATTTGAAAGTCTATTGAAAGCACTCCTTCCTTAGATAGTCTCAGTTGAATTGTATCTACGTAAGGCACCGCACAAGAATAGGGCATAAATGTCAAGGGTAAACCGGAGCAGAGTGTTAATGGACAATCAACCATTAATCAAGTGCTACTATGAAATTGTGCAACATTGTCAGGATTTATATATTACAAGTCGTATGTAATTGAAATGCAATGTTTCAAATAATTTTGTCACATCCAGCAGCGAAAATGAATGTCTACTTACAATGACGCTGAATTTCTGTTTTTTTCACCAAATTAATACATGTTGGTTTTTCTACTGGAGGTCGACAATAATATTATCGTGAGCCATACTCGTTATGTTGCACCTCTCACAGCCGATCATTATGACAACGTTCTCCATCGTTTGCTGCAACGTTTAAACGGTCTCCCTATATTTGTGAGAAGAGAAAAATAAGAAATTAAATTATTGCGTTTGTATTTTTTTTGTTAACAAATTCTTATCAATCACATAAACAAAATAATTATACTATGCTGCAAATGGTTGAGTAGCGGTCGATCGATTAACAGTCTAAAGAAAGTGACATTGCCAAATTCTATGTGATATTCATATACGTGATTAAAAAAGCGACCGCTGTTGTGTTTCCAACGGCTGCAATATAATCCATGACCATCTGTCTGCTTATTGAAGGCTTAATTATGTGCCTTAGGCCTACATAAATATTATATTTATTACAAAAGAACGTATAGTGTACATAAATGTTATGCTCGTACCTGTATAGAGATCAATTCTGTGTATTTTTTTATCCCCGTGAAGTTTTTAATTGAAGGATTTTCGAAGTACGAAAAGCACAGCTATGCTTTTGGATAGATTTTCTGCTTTTTTACCGATGAGACGCCATCCATTTCAAAACCAAGACTTCATAACAAATAATTTAAAGATAAAAATGAAAATAATAGATTTCATTGCAATACAAATAAGTCAGGATATGATATGATAGAATACGATACGATATGATTATAATTGATCACGATACAACAATGAGAGTTCAATATGGTACTCAATAAAACAGTAAAAAAAAATACGATATAACTCAATACAATGCAAAGCAATGCAATACTTGCAACGGAAAGCAAAAAAGTATAAGTAAAGGAACGCAATGCAATGCAAAAATGTACAATGAAATGCTATGTATAGGTAAAAAGTTCTAACCGGCCTAGTAGTTGATCCTACAAAAGGTCGTTATTCTTCCAATGTCTGTTTAAACATTACCAATTCGCGATCAACAAGATTTTGGTTAATATAATATCATGGTATGTTGCAACTTGCAATCATTTTTTGAATATCAGGAAATTGATTACACAAGACTTGCAAACACGGATTACTGCAAAAAGTACAAAATATTTTAATAGTATTCGAAATTTGGCTCGCACTTGTAATAGGATTATTAGTTTTACATTATGCAATACAAACATAAAATGTGTTTGTGATGGTGAAATTTTTCTTTCTTGCAGTCGCATAGTATAGCATGTTAAATTATATAAAAACGCAACAGTTCCTACATTATGAGCAAATTCTTTTCATTTAAAAATGTAGAAACTGTTGCCTGATTAAAGCGCATGTGCGAAATGGAAGATTTTTATGTACTTTTTATAGATCTACAGTACAAAGATTAACACAATTATCTGCAGAAATAGTTATATATTTTAATGTGACAGATGCCATTGTTTAAACTAATCCAAAACTTTTCATTTAATAAAAAAAGTATGGCAAACTATAAGAAATGTATAAATCTGACTATTGAAAGTTGTAGATGCATTTATGATTCTAAGTAATTTGAATTACACATTTCATTTTTTTGGTTCATTAAATTAATCAAAACACACTGGATCATCAATTTTACATTGTCTTTATACATATTTTCTTCAAAGCAATACAATATTAACTGCTCACCCAATGGCAGACATAAAAGAAACAAGAGGGCCATGATGGCCCTAAAGTCGCTCACCTGTATATAGGCCCCCGGAGCGGGGCCAGTTTAAACCCCAGGGCTTTTATTTGAACAAACTTGGTAGACACCCATTAGAAGATGTTTCATGCTAAACATCTAAGGTCTAGCTTGTTGGGTTTTTTAAAAGAAGTATTTTTCTTAACACATACAGTTAAAAACAATGATACACCTGGGACAGGGCCAATTTTGACCCGAGGGCTTTTATTTGAATAAACTTGGTAGACACTCACTAGAAAATGTTTCATGCTTAGTATCTAAACTCTAGCTATTTGTTTTTTTTTTCTCAAAAAAGATCTTTTAAGTTGTTGTTATAAACATATAAGGAAAATGAATGACCCCCGGGTCGGGGCCAATTTTGACCCCAGGGTTCTTATTTGAACGAACTTGGTAGACATCCATTAGAACATGTTTCATGCTAAAAATCTTAGCTCTAGCTCTTTGCATTCTTTAAAAGAATTCTTTTAAAGTTTTTACTATATGCATATAGGGAAAATCAATGACCCCCTGGGGCGGGGCCAATTTTGACCCCAGGGCTTTTATTTGATGAACAAACTTGGTAGACACTCATAAGAAGATGTTTCATGCTAATTATCTTAGCTCTAGCTCTTTGGGTTCTTTAAAAGAAGATTTTTAAGGTTTTACTATATGCATATTGGGAAAATCAATGACCCCCTAGGGCGGGGCCAATTTTGACCCCAGGGCTTTTATTTGAACAAACTTGGTAGACACTCACTAGAAGATGTTTCATGCCAAATATCTAAGCTCTAGCTCTTTGGGTTTTTTAGAAGAAGATATTTAAGGTTTTTTCTTTTGGTTGCCATGGCAACCAGAGTTCTGCAATGAATGGAATTCTTTGAACAACTTTGTTAAGGCTTCACACAAGGAACATCCCTGTGAAGTTTCATTATGATCTGCCTTATGGTTTCAGAGGAGATGTCGTTTTAAAAGCGTGAACGGACAACGGACGACGTACGACGGACGACGTACGACGGACGACGGACGACAGACGACGGACGGAGAGTGATCCTAATAGCTCACCCTGAGCATATGCTCAGGTGAGCTAAAAAAACAACCTAAGAAATATACCTTGCATTGAATGAACTGCCATCCGATCTGTCATACCCTCTATTTCTCTCGCTAGTATATCTGGGACTAGGACAATAAATAACGCCATCATTATCTTCTTTGGTGTTTGTGCAATTCTGTTTTAAAAGTTGACACGAAATAATTTTATATTGTTAGATATTGGGTCATCAAAGTGCAATGAAACGTTTCAACTATATCTGGGATTACGCTACGTAAGACCATTAGACACATGACATTTTGTATGACCATGAACTGAAACAGCACTGTTAATTCTTAATCTGCCGATTAGTCAGTCCCAACCATGCAGGTGACACACACAAAACAAACTGATATTCATAGATATGAACTTGAAGCGTCCATTTTGTTATATTATGAACTTAATGACAGAATAACTATTTCTCTAAAAATGACGCGATTAAATAAATGTTAAATGTGTCCTAACTTTGATATGCTACCCATTATTCTTATTCAAAGATTGAATATAGGGC